TAACCGTAACGTGCTAAATAATTGCCAATAAGTAAAGTGTTAAACGTTTGAATTTGCGTGAAGATCTGCAGTCTAATAATAATCGAATAATTTAAGGTGGCTGCGATTACGTTACATGGTTCCCTTGTAAGAGATTGATTATTACTTTTTATCTATAAAAGTTAAAATTTTAACGTTTCTTATCCATTCAAAGGATCAAACAAGCGAGCGATGAACCGAAATGCGATGATACAAATGCAGCAAATCATGTTCAGATAGGGCCTGTATCCGGTTCTGTAAAAAATCATGTAACTAAGAAGATATCCAAGAAAGAATCTGAAGAGGCCAATCCTTTGTTGACCAAAGAAATTGAAAATGTAGTGAGTAAACTAAACTAAACAAAAATCATCACTAGATTGTAGATCTCTATGCAAATTCTTGTTTCTGTGTAATATTCTTGAATATCTTTCCAACGCATCCGTTTTGAATTTTAGACATTTATATGAGGAACGAAACTGAGACAATACCTTTTAAAACGGTATTACTTTTTTGAAACTAGTCTAAATGACTCGAATTTTTCTGTAAATGTTAGAGGGAGTAGTTCACTGTAGAATGGTTAAAATACATTTTTTTAAATTTTGCTATTACTTAGAATAAAAAAGACCAAAGTTTTTACTTTTTTATCTGAGCCAGTAATGAAAATTTAGAAAATGCATTTGGTACTTCTCGGTAAAATTTCATTGAAATCGGTTGACCTTGACACAAGCTATAAACTATTAAAGATCGCGAAAATCGCAGTTGACCATGCGTTAATCGATTTCAATGAAATTTTCAACATGTGTTTAAGTTACCGAGAATTACCAAATGCATTTTTTAAATTTTCATTATAGGTTCAAATAAAAAAGTGAAAAGACGAGAGTTTTATTATTTCTTTTTTTTCCAAGTAATAGCAAAATTAAAAAGAAAATATTTTAGTCATTTTACAGTATATACATTAATCCTTCTAACATCTCCAAAAAAATTCGAGTCGTTTAGACCAGTTTTAAAAAAAGTTATACTGTTTTAAAAGGTGTTGGCTCACTTTTACTCCTCATTGTATGTGTATATTGTAAATCCAAAGAGATCCGCAGTCTAACTGTTCCACGAAAAATTTAGCGTAAATGAAAGTTGACACATTTTTCTTCATTGATCACTTACAACTTGATCACGATCGATTATAATTATAATCATATATTTTGTAATACTATTCTAAGTGGAATTTATAATTCTCTACGAAAAAAGTACTAAGCTATTTATGGTCGTAAACCATTAGTTCTTAAGATATTTTAATACTATCGTAGCGTCAAATTAAACTATCCTTTAATATACACATAATTATATTGAAAAATATATGATTCGATTTTTTAAAAATGCTGTTGACCTTCATATGTTCTCTAGGCATCCGTTTGTGGAAAAAAGTACTTGCGTCAAGTAATGTACCCGTTCAAATCGCTCCTCAACTTTTATTTGAAACATTTTTGGATATCGCCAACAGTTTTGTAGATATTCGAGAGAGTTGATGTCAATGGGTCACGGTAAAACTGAAAATGTAAAAAATACAGTCTCTTTTATTTCCATATACATAGTATAATTGTTATGAATATCTGCATCGTTCACTGTGCATATCGAGCTTTTTGCTTTATTATTTACACTCGACCAAAACTAATTTCGTCCAAAGTATTTTATGGTTATTGTATCGAATTATTTTAGGGGACCGAAGCACGAAAGGTAAAATCAATTTCCAAACAACGCTTAGGAGATCTGAATTGCGGCGTTGTCCGAACGGACTCTCTACCGTGGCTGAGAAGGCAATTCAACACAAATACTCACTACTTCAAGGATATCAGGGTTCACAGGAACTCTGTTATGTATCGCGGTGCTGCCTTAAATTTGCACAAGTACAGATTAAGAGCCAGTAGCTGTCCAGATATTTATAGAAACAGCATGACTACATTGGCAAAAGAGAACGAGGAGGTACTACATCAAACCTTTTATTACATTTATTACTACTTAGAAATCGAAGGGGGGTGGAAATCACGTTGCTTCCACTTGTAATTTAACACATTGAAAGTAGCCTAATTTTTCTGCTTATCTTTTCGCATAAAACACAGTTGTTCTAATTTAGAATATTATAAGAAATTACTCGATTAAGCAAACCTTTTACACTTCGCGATATTAAAATATCGTCGTTTTTTCAACCAGTGGTCCTCTCAACATTTTATGCTTTACATACAAATGTGCATACACCTGGTGTACCCACCCAGAGACTTGAAACTTTTACGAGTGTAAGCTATATAGTCGGTGTACAAAATATTCGTACACCATTTAAAACGGAATAACTCTTTTATAATTGGGCCAAACGATTTAAATTTTGTTGGGACGTTAGAGGGATCAGTTTGCTAGGCAATAACTAAGAAATTGTTTTCAATAATTGCAGTTGGTTGATAGGATAAAAGAATTAAGAAATGTTTTTTTCAACTTCTCTTTATCGGAGCCTATAATGAAAATTTAAAAAATGCATTTCGTAGATCTCAGTAATTTATATATGTACATGCTGAAACTTTCATTGAAATCGGTTTGCGCATAATCAAGCTACAACCACTGAAATATGTAAAAATGATCTATTTTTAGTTGAAAAACTGATTTTCGCGATCTTTAATTGTTTACAGCTAATTTGCCAGGGTCAACCGATCTCGATGAAATTTTCAGCGTGCATACAAGTTACCGAGATCTACAAAATGCATGTTTTAAATTTTCGTTATAGGGCTCGGATAAAAAAGTTGATAAAATATCATTTTTTAATTTTGTCAACATGCCAACCAATTGCAATTTTTGAAAACATCTTTCTGGCAATTGTCTAGTGAACTAATCCCTCTGACATCCCAAAAAATTTGGGCCACTCCGCGCAAATTATAAAACGATTATTTCGTTTTAAATGGAAGAATAGTTTGTACACCAACCGTATTTTCTTTAAGCTTCAATAATAGAAACTATTATACATATATATGTATATACGTATATGGTATACATATTGTATATTGGGTGTTCGACTACGTGTGTCAACGAAATTAACGTAAGTGACGGCTTCGTTTTCAAGATAATAACGATGAAAAGTACTTCCGTTCGACGAATACTGTCACTCACTCGCTCAGTCAGGTCAGAAAGTGCACAAACAATGACGTATCGTGCGGAAGATAGCAACAGAAAACTGATCCACGCGTCGCAGCTGGACAACTTTTTTAATCGTTAATAACTTGGAAATAAAGTGGTTACAGAAAAATCATCGTTCTCGATTTTTTTATTTAGTTTGGCTCGTAGCCCATCACCCCTTAAAATATTTGACAAACGAGATCGAATAGTTAATTGATTATTGTACCGGGTAAAACAGACAAGCGTGCCGCTGGTCGACGATGATCGCTTCCTTAAGCTGTTAGTAATATTGGAAATTAGTGAGATTTAATACTACAAATTTATTGATTGTAACTTTATATGTACTTTTAGAAGTGGTACGGCGAATTGTTAGATTTACTAAAGGGCATGATGGACTTCTCTATGTTCCTGGAGCTACACTTTTTATTACTATCACTGTCAACGATCTTGTTGTTCACTTGGTTTATCGTGCCTTACTTCTACCTTGCCGAGCATCTTACTAGGAACAGTTACTCCGAACCTGACGCTGCAAATCTCCTTAGTATTATTGGCATCACCAATACGATTGGAATGGTAATTTAATTTTGTTAATGGAATTTTATAAAGGGTCTGGCCGGATAGGAGCGCGAAATATACCGCCGAATTGAATTGATTCGCTGAGAGAACGATTTATATGAAATTTCAAGTGGTCCACCCTTGATGGATGGTGTAGCTACAACGAAATATCGAATTAGTGGTTTTTACTTTATTTTATTCACTTAATTGTAACTATTTAAATTGAAAATAGATACAATATTTGTTAAACAGTATGTAGAAATTAAAAGAATTGGGGTAGAATAAATTATTTCTTCATATGTAAAACGTCAGAAAAACTGTTTCACTATCTTCTTTCAATTATGATGCACTGTAGCGTCCAAAAGATCGAAAATCCGTGAAAATTGGCGCGTTAGTAATGTCTCAATCAAAGAAACATTCGTATAGCTTCTATGGTTCGAACACAGAAAATGATTAAAGTCGCTTGGATATGAAAGAAATTGTAAATAATTTATTGAAACTCTATCGCGAATCACTTTTTCATTATCAGAACGCGAACGATATCAAAATCTGATAGACGGTGTTACAAAATGTCTGCTCCTATTTGTCAACAACGTTTCACGAAGGTTAATCCGATCAAACTAATTTCACCGAATTACACGCAACTCGCGAGCGTTTAGCTGCAATTAGCTCGCTCCAGTTACTTTCTGTTAGTGGATGATGGTCATAATTCATGAGTGTTTAACGAATCTCCATTGTAACGTGAACCTGGCACTGTGTTTGCAGATTGGTCTCGGCTGGGCTGGAGATCAACCTTGGATGAACGTTAGCAAGACGTACACCTGGTGTCTGGTTGCCTGCGGTATAGCGACAACCCTAATGTCAATACTAACTCCTTACTACAACCTGTTGATGGTCACCTCGGCAGCGTTCGGCCTATTCTTCGCGAGTAGCTTTAGCTTCACTCCGGTGATACTCGTGGAATTGATACCTTTGGAGAGATTTACAACCGCTTACGGGCTTAGCCTGCTTTGTCAAGGTATAGGGAATCTTCTTGGCCCGCCACTGGCTGGTTGGATATTCGATGTGACGGATTCATGGGATATGTCTTTCCACATGGCCGGTGGTGGGATCATCGTCTCTGGGCTTCTGGTAGGGCTAATCCCCTACACGAAGAACCGAAAAATCTGGGGCAAAGGTCCAATTGAAATGGAACGTGAGAAAGACTGTTTAGCATAGATTGACTACTAGCAGTACCCTAACAATGTTAACATTTAAGCAACCGAGGGATTCGCCTGATTAATCCTCCGTCTACAACTCTGTTTTCACCGACGCCTGCATACTGGGTTACTAGTATGTTTTTATGTTTTAAAGAATTCCCAAAAATTCTTGAATACTCTTTCATATGTTCCTAGAATATCATCCATTTATTCTAAAAAATCTAAACAGTGAGAAATGATTTGAAGATTTACAAATGAATGCTATATAAAATTTTAGGTCGGAAAACTTTTCATTACAAAATCGAACTAAAGTCATAATAATTTGAAGTGTTTTAATGTTGTTTGTTCATGTTAACTGATAACAATAAATTATCTTTATTGCGTACAATAATTATAGAACTATGTGCGATATTTATCATAATAGTTTTCTTCCTGTATTTGTTTATGTAATTTATTTATGTTAAAAAACGAAGTCTCTCTTTTTTTTAACATTTTCGTATATTGGAGTAACTATAAAAATAAAAACAGAATTGAAAACAGCCCAGTTTGCAGGTGAGGGGTTAAATCTAGTTTAGCGAATCTTTTTAATAACAAGTCGTTTATTGTGACGACACAATTAGTGATAATTAGAAACATTTATAGGTATATTAATCAAATTTATTATTTATACGCTTGAAATGTGTTGTAATGATCGACATTTTTAGTCATTTTCTGTAGATACAGTGCATCACGAAAGTATTTGAATGCCCTCTAAAACGAAAAACTATTTTGTAAGTTGGAGCAAACAGATTAAATTTTTTGAAGATGACAGGACTAATTTGCTAAATAATGCAGAAACAAAATTTTTAAAAATTGCAGTTCATCGAACTAACGGAAAACAATGTTGAAAGTCACGTCTTCCAATTTTCTTATATCTGAGCATATAAAAAAAAATTAAAAATATATATGCTGTTTGTAGATTTCGATCAATTATTAACAATGTTATGAAAATTGTGAAAAAGTGAAAAGTTATGATTTCGCTATCTTTAACTGTACTTCATGACAACGTTAATAATCTACCAAACGCATTGTTCAAATTTTTATTATAAGCTCAGATAGAAAAGTTGGAAAATGTAATTTAAAAATTTTTATTTTTCATTCGAATAAAATGGTAATTTTTTCAAAATATTTGATTACACATTGTCTAGTAAACCAATCCTTCTAACATCTCAAAAAGAAGTTCGAATTGTTTGACCCAAGTTTTAAAAATTATGATTCGATATGAAAGGGCATATATTGCGTCTTCTGAGATTTTAGGATATTAATGTTTTTGTTAATGGGACCATAATATTTTTATATTGGTAATAGCAAAAAAGAAGATGACTTCAAAAACTCATAATCTCATGACTTTCGTGCGACCTTCACTATCACAAGTAAATGAATAGAGATATAATTGAAAAGGAGCAAATCATGTAATCGATCGAAAAAAAATCGAATTTTTCAGCATGAATTTGGCAAATATATTCTCAATGTTTCGATGCAAAATTCAACGTATTGACAGAGTTACAGTCAATTTTACAACTGCGTGTCACACAAACTAGGATATTGATTGTGACGGGAAAGGAATGATTATTTTAAGTATCAAATATTAAAAGCATGATCATTGAAATTCATGTATTAAAATTGTTGAGATCGTTGTTTTTACAATTGTTGGCATTCTTAATGAGGAGTATATTGTCGTCATGAAAATTATGAACAGTTTTATGGATCATTGTTAATTATTAGTCATTATTGTTATCAATGTTACTTTTGTTACCAGTGGTATAAATGTTTCTTTCTTGTTAAATATTACTCGTCGAATTTTTTCCATCATTGCCATGAATGATTTATGATTCAACACGAAAGTAGATATTTATTTCGACATTACATTTTTATTTCATGATCAATTGCAAAAGTTTATATATTTGTCAAATTGCAAATATATGAAACAAAAAATATATAAAATATAATTCAATTATGTCATGTTTAGATTGAAACGTGAATAAATGTTTTCTGATTCAAAGAATTTAATTACGCTTTATTGTATATGCGCGTAACTTTGATCAGCAAAAAGATCGACAAGAAACTTGAAGTTTTCCCAATGAAAAGACTAATTTTAACCAATAAAGGAGCCACATTTTAAGAAAACAAAGATAACCTATCTATGTTGTGATCAAATAAAATATAATACAATCGCGAAACCAATATGGTTAATGCAAATCTCAGGGAGGGTTAAGTCATTTGATTGCTTAGATGTTAACATCGTAGAAGTAGCGAATGAAATTGTTGATTGATCTCTTATTATACAACAGTCTTTTTAACTTCGTAGACAGTGATGCAAAGTATAACATAAAATCGAAAATAGGATGAATATGAAACATTTACAGTTCGTTCAATGCAGATTCTTTTATTAAATGTTGCTTAATTCTTATGATTGCCTTTTGAAGAGTACTTAACGGTGATGATTAGACGTCGGGTTATTTCCATCTTCGCGTAATATAAAAATTTCATAAGTATATTTGAAAAACTGCAGTTCAATATAACATAACTTTTTGGATTTAAATATCTATTAAAATAAAAAATAAAATAGCATCATCGCAATTTGAAAATGCATAAAAATCCGCAGTCAAATATAATGACATTTATAAAATGTTTTACCGTGTATATAAATACTATATATTAATACCGTAGGATTAGTTCAAATGTGATAAACCATAGTTGATTGTGTTTTTGGTTCAACACAGAGAAAGTTCTTACTTTATTGGAATTGCGTTATTGTGGAAATTAGAACGGTGGGGTCACAGAACTGACAGTATTGTACTGAGAACGAGTACAATAAAGCAAGTATGAAATGAAAGACATTTTTTGATCCATTAAGAAATATTAGTTTAACAGTAGCTATGTTATATATTTGTGGTATGCATCGTAATATTTTAGTTTAAAAAAATTCTACAACAAAAGATTGAAATTTCTGCCTTTATGAGTCAGTAAAATATTAAACGGATTAATTTTTGAAATCGAAGAACACAACACTCACTCAAATATTATTAGAACAATTTGTTATACTTCGTTTTTGTTATTACGAAGGATCTTTTTATATTATTTTTTATCTAGTCATATGTAACAATTGTGCTGAGAGATGGGTGGAACATTAGTTTTCAATATAATAAATAGACGCGGTTGTTCATGTAAATTAATTAATAACAAATTCATTTATGGAGTACTATTTAGACGACCGGTACGTACTTGACCATTTTGTTCAGCTTGCTTCTTTATATTACGGCGCAGTAAAGATAACTAATTAAATATCATTGATAATTGGCATCGCCGCAGTAAGAAATTTAATCGAATTAATGAAAGTTATACCGTAGTATATGTATGTTTACTATCAAATATTAAGCTGTTGTTAAGAAGAATGTAATTCAACGTCGGAAGCAAAACTCTATATACTTCGAGAAAAAAAAAATAGGAAAAAGCAAGAGAAACATAAACAGTGCTAGACACGTTTCAATTAGAAGCTACTGAAAATAGTATAATGGAAATAGTTTACGTGATTTAAAAATTTATATTACACGAAAACGAGGTTTCATACGCGAACCGACGCATTACCTTATCTATCTTTCACTTTCCGCTCATCTCTGTTTCCCAAGCAGCTGCTTATCCGACCGCATACGTGTCCTAAATCGCCATGCTGTGCAGTATACTTTGTACTCATTATCGGACATCACAATGCCAGATATCGGTGGTTGATAACGCTCGGTTATTTATGTACCCGGAACTAGAAAGCACCGAATCCATCCGAATTGGCGCGCATTGTCGCTACGAAATTGTAGATCACCCAAACAATGATTAATAAATACAAATTTTTTTCACGAACGAAAACATACAAACGAAAGCTCGCGAGTTTAATGTAGTCGGAGCTAATGAGAATAGATTTCGATAATTAATCAACATCATTATTTCTTTAACTGGTACAGAATGTGGTGCGATATAACATTACTTTAAAATAGTAGTTACATGAAGAAATAGGATTTAAACATTTAAATACGTAACTCATGCACAGACCATTTTAAAATTAGTGCTTAGAAAAGTTCTTTCCGATTTTTGCTTATTGCGATATACATAAAACGCGAAACAATGGAAAACAAAGTTATCGAAGATTCCTTTCTCCTTCTTTTTCTTTTTGCATACGGTCCTTTGGCGCAGATATAAACATTTGCCTTATAAAGTCCAGCGACGAGTCAAAGAATTAAAATTACTCGGAACAGTGCAATGACGCTGTTAGATGCCTATACTGTTATAACGAAACGTCCCAACTGTGATTTTGTATCCATTTTTAGAAGGAAATTAGGAAAATTTTGGTATTAATACTACATTAATCTGTGCACGCCTATGTAACGAGCATTCAAGGCGATGTGTGAACGTGCAATTATATTAATTAGAAGGTAGTAATACATTCCAGGGTTGTGGAGCTTAATATTACGTCGTGTACACTGTACACTGTAATCGGTAAATGAAGAACGATAGAAAGTCTGCTAATATCTCAGAATATTTCTTTATTTTCGTTAATATTTTTGTATTCGCCGGTTTAACAATTTCCCAAGAACTCGATCAAAATGCCCGTCATTTTAGAGAAAGGTACATTTTCTAGCAGGTTTATCGCAACCTTATTTTGAAAAAGTTTGTTTCTCATAGTATTTGTAATAAATAGATTACGGATTATTATGCAACGTTATGATTTCATAAATACCTAGTCGTTATTATTGTCATAAATGCAAAAAATCCGCAGTCTAGTAACAACGGCAGAATGAATTAATCATTCGTCGACCATTATATTATAATTGACTCAATGAAGTAGATTTTTAAAAACTTCCTTAGAATATGCAAGGAGAATTAATAGTGAAATTGTAATGTCACCTTCATTTCTTCTTCTCACCCATCTACTCGAATAATGATCGTATGTTATATACATATTTGATATAATTTTGTTACTTTTCATTGTCGAAAAATAATTGCTGGACTTATTACAAATTACTTTCTATTCAACGCTGAAACGTTATTATGTACATGTATAAATTACAGACAGCGAGCAACAGAATTCGTACAATATTTTTATAATCGCTTTACGGAAGAAATTGCTATATTTTAATATGCCCATCTTCGTTTGAAGAAACTAAAATCCCCAAACTATTTTAATTCTCGATGTTTAGCCCTTAACTACAGTTAGTAAAACACACTGGAGGTCAATGATACTACAGATCGAGGTCACAAAAATGATCGAACCTGTTAACGCAGCCGGTTTCAACTTTTTGATTAATCGATTGTAAATTTATTTTGAATTGAAATCTTTTCGAGTGTCGATCCGAAAATGATGAAAGCATATTGAAATTCTACTATTGCGTATGCTCGTGGAATAGAATTATTTTCGTTACACTCATTATTTCGATTAATATTTAAATGGTAGTAATACGGAATGCTGGTATGCAAACATTTTTACTTGTAAAAGTAATGTATATTCGATAGTTGGGTACTCAGAAGTTTCTTTCACGGAAAAAAAGAATTTTAATTAGTTATCCAATATGTAATATAATCCAATTGACAGCTATATTGACTGTGTATACCTACCTTAATGAATTGCGATTATCTATGTATGTACTAGTTAATTGTAATTGATAATCAAATATTTCAATTGCAATCGTTAATTGTTAATTGCATTAAATATTGTCCAACTCTGATTTATGCGAATACGCTCTCGCATACATTATTTTATGAAAAATATATTACATATTATATGTAGAAATGGTTGTATTATACGAGTAATATTTATATATACATGGAAGTACTCTCAATATAACGAAGGGTATGTAACATGCTTCCAAATATGAACTAGTCAACGACAGCGAACAGTTTGTCACAATAGCGTTCAATTTTTCATACAAGTGTTCAATCGATGTTCAAATTACATTTCTAGGAAATAATTTTTTCTGTCTTTTCGACACTGGTAACTCACCCGAACTTTGTAGCCGTGACCTAGCTTTTTGTAATCTACACACCTAAAAATATTTTAGACAATTTTTGCAAAACTTTTCTAATAATCTCGATGTGATACTATTTCAGTGCAATAAAACAATGTATTGTTACAGGATTAACTTATTTCAATTTGAATATCGATTAACAAATACATGTCCGGCGAACATGGAAACAATGAATTACGAAATGATAATCAATTATACTCATACAACTGTAACTTCGAAGTATTTAGTACGTGAAACATTAACTAGCTTATAATGAACAATAATGTGAATTTACCAATCTTTGTATTACGCGTTACGTATTGTTGCGAGAAGAAGAAATTGTTAAAATGCCTGTATAAATACATTCGAATGTATATATTTATATAAATATATACACACACTGCGTATATATAAAACCGTACAGTCTAACATATATTTCACCTTCTCCCATAAATTTTTGTATGTCCCAGTTTTCAATTTATCCATATTTTCTAACATTACAAATATATTATTTTCTTACAGATTCAAATAATCAACAATTTTTGGAAATTTAGTATGTTAGTTGTTAGTTGCAATACTCTTTTGGTTTGTAAGTTGCATACTTAACGCGCTAGAAGCCACAATTATATAATAACACAGCATAAATTGATTACATTTTTAAATAGTAATGAATAACTATTCTATTATATGTTTCAAAAACTCATGTATTTGAGTATTGAGCAATCAGCGTGATCACTCTAGATCAGAGCAACTCAACAGCTTGCCCGTAAGGACAGCGATTTTTAGCCCAGGGCAAACACCGATCGGCGTGCTTGGATGGCAACGGTGACCCCCCCCCCCCCCCCCCCCCCCCCCCCCCNTTTGAGTATTGAGCAATCAGCGTGATCACTCTAGATCAGAGCAACTCAACAGCTTGCCCGTAAGGACAGCGATTTTTAGCCCAGGGCAAACACCGATCGGCGTGCTTGGATGGCAACGGTGACCCCCCCCCCCCCCCCGCTCATGGTTTCATTGGACTCTTCACCAGAAACGACACGTTATGTGGCTGTAGGTTACGTCGAGATTGCGTGCGAGTGAGAGAGTAAGAGTGGCATGAAAACGTAAACATTTCGCTCTTTCTTTTCTCACGTCTCCACCTCGCTAAGACGCTTGCCTGTAGTTTTGCCCTTAGTCCGTGACTTTGCCCTTGCTATCCGCGAGGCCTGTTGAAAGCTCTGCTCTAGATCACAAAAGTAGGTACATCAAGTTGTTGTGAACGAAATGATTTCTTTTTAAACAATCCTTTAACCTTTTAAGCACGACGCGCCACTATAGTGGCTTTCGCGGATGTCATCTCTCTGGACGACGCGCCACTATAGTGGCTTGCTCTAGTAGCTCACTCGCTCATCGTTTGAATCAAATAATCGTCTTCATATGCATTGCTTCACACTTCTTTTGTCTTCACATCGATTTACAACAGCCTACAGGGTATCCCAAAAATGTCTCGCAGTCCGGAAATGGCGGGTTCCTCGGATCATTTGAAGCTAACCAGCGCGCGAAGCCCAGTTCCGCTCTTTGGCTCGATCGCCTCGCGCCAGCTGAGCTCGCCTCTCATTGGTCACTGTTTTTCGTGAATAACTCGTTAACGGTGCCTCGGAAAAAATTTTTGTAAAGGAAAAAGTTGCTTCAAATGGCCTGAGGAACCCGTCACTTTCGAATTGCGAGACATTTTCGGGACACCCTGTATATACAGTATTAGACTCTGTACAGTACATATCAGACTCTGCCGTCCAGAGAAATAGCCTCGCACAGAATTCAGCCGTACCTAAAAGGTTAAAAACGACTGTCACCGTATTGGTCAACACATTTTATCTTTTTGATACAGTATATAAGATTGTATATAATATAACCCAATTTATTTAAAAAAAAAGTATTTTTAATATTTGAGGAAATCCTCATTGGAAAACGGTTGACTTCGACTGTCAGTGTAGAAATCGTTATTCATAAAATTTGTTCAAGAAACTACGTAGTAGTGGAAACTCCGACCACACTGGCAAGTTTATTCACGCTTTTCGGAAATGTCCTCGTAATTACGCAGTGCTCTGGACCGATCAACGCGTCCCCCATCACCCCCATTCGCACAGCTTTTCCATACCTGTGTAGAGTGATCGACATATCTAAAAATAATAATAACATGTTGACGTTTTATTAAATTGTGTAACAAAATTCCAGATAGAAAAATATCTAAGGCAAACGACGAATACGTATTTGGCGGGGCATTAAGGTCATTTCCGTAACTGAGTGAAAATAAGGCAGTTTTTAGTTATTTTTTATAGAAAATTTATGCGGTACTCTCATTGCATGTGCCGATAGATACGTTATTGCATGTTTCACAAAGCAGAAAGGTTATGTCTATCTAAAGGTTATGTCAAAATATCTATCAGAAAATACGGTCGTATTGAGGCGTGATTTCGGTGGTCGAATTTATCATTTCGTTCAAAACAAAAGAATCGCCTTAGAATTGCCTTACTTCATATTGAAAAGAATAAATAGAGAAAAAACAAACAATTTCGAAAATCTGGTAGATATCTAAAAAATGATTAAAATGTTCTAATGCTTCTGAATAACAATGCACAACCAATGATCAGTGAAATTATTATACTTACTGCAGTTGCCTCGTGGCGGTCTCCAATACATTACAGCATCGACACCTTGCACGTGTAAATCTCCGTCTACATGCGTCAAAGACAGGGAATACCTTCTCGTCAATTGATTTAACACGACTTTCAGTAAAAGGGAAGGTAAACAAGAGGTAATCAGTCCACTAGACATTTCAGCTGCTGTAATGGCATATATCGCAGACTGTTCCGATCTCACTTCTCTTACGTTCCTCTGAACCTCCTGTAAATGCAATTATTATTATCCTTAGCGACAAATGATGCAGATCAAAGCTGAATAATTTCAAGAGGAGTGCGTTCTGATATTAATTTGCTTGCGAGTGGGCGCCTCAAAGTCCTATGCTCTTGTTTCTTCGAATAAATATGCATTGACCGATGAATCTTAACAATCTCTATAAGAAAATTGTTTGCAAATATCTCGTTAGAATTGTCCAGAAAATTCCGCAGAAGTTTACTAAAATACGAGGTGTCCCAAAAATGTCTCGCAATCCGGAAATATCCTGAAGTCATTTGAAGTAACTTTTTCCTTAGCGAAAATGCAATCCGCGGCGTTGTTTATGAAGAAACAGTAACCAATGAGAGGCGAGGTCAGCTGGCGCGTGGCGGCCGAGCCAATGAGGGACTGTGATTCGCGCGCTCATTGGCTGGGCCAATGAGTTAATAACTCGTAATATAATAATAATAAATTAATATAAATTAATATATATATACATATAAATTATATAATATAAATAAATATAAAAATAAAAATTAATAATAACCCGCGGATTGCATTTCCGCTAAGGAAAAAGTTTACTAAAATAACCTCAGGAACTCACTATTTCCGGATTGCGAGATATTTTTGAGGCTTCCTGTACTTTCAAGCACATAATTTGAGACTATTTTGTCTTAATTGACAAAATTTCAGACTACAGAATCCGAATCGTTAAACTTTCATAACGATGTAATGATTTTATAATGCAACCGTGAAAATCATTCTGCAATAAAATTTCTCTCGGCTGTTCTCTGCTGTGTCTCTTACTAATATTCTACTAAACCAACCTGCAAAATTTCAACCAGGTCATCGTCGAGCAACGGCGTCCTCGTAGGTAATGCAAGACATAGAATACCCCTGGCCTCGTGATTCTGCATGAATACCGATCGTTGTTTAACAAATTTTCCAGTGGCGAGCACACGGTCCGGTATCACAACGTGGGATTGTTTAAAATATTGTTTCAGAGCGTCGACGGTAGCAGTTAACAAAATTTCAGCCTCGGTAGCTCCGGTCATATCCGAAATCTTTTGAAGAACATCAAGCTCTATCTCCTCCGACCATGCTACCACTTTCCTGCCACATGGGGAGGTGGTCTGCAAACGATTGGCTTCAGGATGTGTCAGAAACAACTGTTCTAGGATCAGTTTTGGTGCTTTGATCGCGATCGAAATTATAGAGAACGTTTCCATGGTGGCTTCGAACACCAACGGAATATAGTACCACAGTATGGCGGTTAACGTGCCCGGGTAATAATGTTTGTGACGAGACCTTAGTGCTCTCAGTTCCTTGAGCAATAATACCGGCATTTTCAATGCCACGGTCACTGTCAAGCGCCAGAATGAAAGAACCCCGTCGAACAGAGCGTCCACGGGATTCAGTGACTTTAACAGCGCACGACAGATAGCTATGAGTCCGAAGTTTCTTTTGTATGCTTCTTTCTGGAGGATCGAGAAAATATCGAAAATCCTGTACATTTCTCCTTTCTGGTACAGTCTATAGCACGGAAGAAATAATTAATGTTTTACCTAAAACCGATTGTCCGATCAAAGATCGATAACCGAGAATTCATTAGTAAATATTGTATTTACAGAAACAAAACTGTGAAATATTGAAAGAAAACGTTTAAATATAAAAACACAGTATGCAATGAAAATTTATCTACAATAATTAATTATGTTTGAAAACGAACGATTTTTCACGTGATTCAATGAGAGAGAATATCAATCATTCAAAATAGAATGATCTATTAATTATAGTCAATTATATAATTATTATATTATAATTATAATTAATTAATGATCTATTAATTACTTTTTAAATCGATGAAATCATGTTCTGTACCTTATCACTTCCTTCAGGAAGGAAACGAAAACGATCACGGCGATTTTGGTACACTGAAATGTGCCGATCTGTTTCTTCAGAATCTCTGGTCGCTCGATCGGATCATTATTATATAGAAACTCGTTCCAGTAATTGGTGAAGCTATCTGTGAGCTTCTGATAGAGCTTTGGTAAAGCGGAGGGTTGAACGTAGAGATTCGTGAACGGTGATTCTGGCTCTTGACACGTCCAAACTTCGTTAGAGTATTGCAATGGTAGAAAGTCTGCTAGAACTAGATGCTCTTGTCGTAGCACTAGATGGTGTGCCCTCACCAGACAGATTTGGCACTCCTCCCCATCGAGGGTACAATTTATCACGTGTACTTGCCACGGTGATTGCCTAAATGGGAAGAATTTCGACGTGAGAAAACTCACGTAATCCTGTAATTGATCAACTTGTTACTAATAATTAAAAGATACGCTTCTCTTAATTTCGAAATGATGATTAGATATTAGCGATTATAACGGATATACAGGGTGTCCCAAAATTATGGTATTTCCGGGAAATGAGAAGTTCCTGAGGTGATTTGAAGCAACTTTTTCCTTAGCGAAAATGCAATCCGCAGCTTCGTTTACGAGTTATCAACAAAAAGCAATGACCAATGAGGGACGAGCTCGCTTGGCGCTAGGCGACCGAGTCAATGGGCAGAACTGAGCTTCGTGCGCTCGTTGGCTGGGCTGTCTCGTGCCAGTCGAGCTCGCCTCTCATTCGCGAGTGTTTTTCGTTAATAATTCATTAACGATGCCTCGGAGAACATTTTTGTAAAGGAAAAAGTTACTTCGAATAACCTCAGGAATCTCTAATTTGCCGGAAGTACCATAATTTTGGGACACCCTGTATAATCGCGATTCATAAAAATGCATATGTAATTAGCTATCATCAATTCGATTAATAGCAAACCACATAAATGTTCTTCACCGTGAAATGAATATTTAAGCAACACGCAGAAAAAGATGCATACAGATCGACAAATAGCTTCCGAAATAAATAAATATTAGCTTTGCTATTAGTAAACATATATTCTAAATTTTCCGCTGTAAACTCTTGTAACATTTGCGTTTTGTTAGACAAGAAAGCTTCTTTATTTGGTCTTGCAACGCGAAAACTATTTTTTAAATGTGTACTGCAATCGGTAAACGTTGTATTGAAAAATGACGACATTTCAGACCCACCTGGATGTTAGTTTCTGTGATAGGATGACCTCTGAAAGAGGACGGCGAATTTAACAAATGGTTGTCCACCGAGAAAGCCTTCTGGTCCTTCCACACGTAAAGACCCCATCTCGTCGACAAGCTCATACGTAGGTACCTTCTGGACGATGTCAAGTGCACTAAATGTCCTCGAATTCCTTCCGCGACAGAGCGGCCTTGAATCAGCAAAGTATAAATGCCCTAAATTTGTGAACAAGTTTACAAGTTACATAACATCGTCACCTTAACGTCGCTAATCTGTATAGCTCGATCGCAATATTTAAAACCTACGTAATTACGAAAATGGTCCAAGATTATTTCGATGCTGTTCTCCTCCTCGACGATCACGTTCGGGTACTTCCATTTCACGAAACGTATCCAGCACATTTTTGACCATGACAGCGCTTCGGGGCGTTCAATGAAACACAAAAAACATCGACAGAAAATAAATTAGATTAACTAGCTTTATTGAACAACCCTCGACCTATATAGTGATAATTTAAAACCATTCAAGTTTTTCGACGCACATGACATTTTTGTTGTGACTTTAGTCAGAGACAAACTATCTATATCATATTTCAGTTTATGTCTTTTATCTTATTAGACAGTATCTGAACCAGACGTGACATATACATATAAAATTGTATTATATATATATAACATATACATATGTTATACATACATACAAACAAATCAACTGACGTTATACAAGTCATTTCCCGCCATTCACGTGAGACGATTAATATTAACTAATCGAATTGTGTTTAACAAGAAATGATTGATTAAATTCTCTGCTATTTATATAGAACGTTCCCATGAATACAATATAAAACGATTTAAATGAATACTGTTATTAATTTTTCTATCCTACTGCAAATTCGCTATTTAGTTTCCATTCTATTTGAAAGACTCAATTATTCAAATGAACTTATTGTTAGCTGTTGCGCGAGATTCTCGGAAGACGAACTAATTAAATAAACGCAGATATTATACTATAAACATAGCTGAAATTGGGTACTCGGATGAATATCATACGATGTATTATCTATTTAAGTATAATATCAATAATGACTACAATGACTAAAATTAGAAATTTTGCAAAATATTACAATTGTACGAATGTACAAATAATTAAGTTTTAAATCGATCGTATGGATTGTCTGAATTAATATCATTGATAAGGCAAATCATATCTTGAATTACAATTGGTTATCTTATCTTTGAATGCCAATACAAAAATCTGCAATCTATCATTTCTAACAATTTCGGCAGTACAAGATTCTGCGTTCAAATACGCAATATTAATAAACAAAGTACTTTTACGATTAGACTTAGGTATAAGACAAGCCACTTTAAAACCACATCACACAAGACCACAAATACAAACACAAGACAAGTGTTTACTTGTCAGCAGTTATAAATTAATCTGATATAGTATGGGTCCTCAAAATAACTGCGAAAGTCCTCGGGAAAATGTATGATATACTTTTGAAAAAAAATAATACATAAATTCAGAGGCGAATTTAGATTTTTGCTGCCTTAGACTAACATATTCTTGCCGTCCTGCAATGAAAAGAAAAGGCAAGAGGAAGGGTAAACGCGTAAGCATTTAAAATACTAGATTTAGCATTTTTATGAAAACATATATTATTTGTTATTTAATCTTGTTACGCCCTAACAAGGTGTCGATCTCCAACAAATAATTAAACCAGTGAAAATGTAATATAATACATAAGACAAGTTAATATTTTTTTGTTCGATTTGTAATAATCAGTTGTAAAATTATTTAAGGTCGTATCATTTTGTATTGTGCATAGAAAATCCTAAACCGGAATTTTCCTCAAAAAACTGCCACACCCATGGAGAAATCTTTTGTTTGAATACAATTGATTTGTTAATTCAATTTAGACGGAACAAAATTACATATTGTTATGTAACGATAAAGATAATTGTAACAATAAGTATCGCAGAATGTTAGATTGCACATATGTAGATTATAATAAATAATGACGAATTTATTTACGGAATTCAGCAACCTCCTCTAATTAATACACTAGCAATTTCGTGTACATATCATTTCATGACAAGTACATACTAGGAATCAAGTAGTACAAACGTTAGAAGAATTTAAAAATATTATCGCCTTTAACTTTTTGCAACCATTAAAAGAGAAAATAAATATTTAGCTCCTGTTTCGTAATTAAACGTATTACTTAGTAGTGACTAATTATTGATTAACACAATCTCTAATAAATGAATTAAACGATTGCATCGATGCTATTACAAACCATAACTACTCCGGCTCCTAATTCAGTAGCTAACACGTTAACAACAACGGTAGAAAAATCTGCACGAAGTTAGTATATAACATTCTACAAAGTTTCCAGCAGCTATGTACTTACCAATATTTTTGAAGCATTCGACCAGTATATAATTTGCATCGTAAGAACATTCAACAACAGCGATTACCTGGATAAATGAGAAGGAACACTGGTACCACAAGGAACAACAGCACCAAACTAACGCCTAAGTGGAACAATAGCGAAATGCCGAAAATATCCATGAGATTGAAGGCGGTCATGTTCTCCGGCGATGTTCTCAAACAATCCTGGAGTAAAATCTTCTTTACACTTGTGCCAGAACAACCGCCGCGAAAATTGCTCGGAGGACTGATCAAGAATTTCTGTAAACTGTAGTCGCGTGTTCGAGATTCCGCGATGCACTGACTCGCGCGCGAAGAATGATTATGTCGCGGGGAGCTGACCCCCGACCCATTGCAGAAGGCCAGCCAGACGCTAACATTGATATATCGACACATCGTGTCAGTGGCACCGTTCTTCTCTCTTGCCTGTACCCCTTTCCCCCGATGTCCCTCGACAAAATCCTCCGGGATTTGTGAAATTCGACGGAGAATCCAATGATGATTTATCGTCAACCAACTTACTGAATCCAATCGCGGTTTAATTATAGGCGACTGACACATAAATAATAATCGTTGGATCTCTGGTCGGCCTTTGGTCCGGGTTAACGAATTTTCAAGTTGAACGTGAATTTTATTATATATTTTTAAATATCTACCATTGTTATTAATGATTTCACGTCGGATTCATAGGAAAATATAGTGTCGCGATAAATACTTGGCGGCTTTGAACTAATCGAATTCGTTGAAGCCGTTTCGAAGCGGCGTTAATTGATTTTAAACAGGTTTCTATCGATCTTGCTATGTTCTTGGGGTCTTTTTTGACCCACTCAAATTTTCATATTTTTTTAACCCTTATACGGAAGTAACCCTTAGTGTGAAATTCGTCAATTTTCTATTTCCAAACACCGTAAAATCTTTGTTTTCTTCATTAAACTGTGGAGTTGAAAAATTGGATGTAGTATTATCATAGGACCTGTT